GAGGGACAGGCGAGCGTTGGGAAGCCAAGAGGCTTGAGTTGAAGGATTCGGTGATGATGGACATGATGTGCGGGGGCAAGGGTGCGGCATACCGCTTTGGTTCAGTGCTAGAGGGGTCAGCGAATCTAGTACTGTATGTGACAGGCGCTTATCAAAAACCTGATCTCCGGGTGATAGGGAGTCGTCCAAGTCGGGGTAATCGTTGGTGTTTGGTGTTGGCGGTGCGGCAGTGCGGTCCCGGGGGAGGATGAACAATGCGTGGGAAGGGAAGAGGATGCCGCTGGGATGGTCGCCTTTACGTGGCCGACAGCACCTACGGAGTCGCCTCCCGAGCTCGTGATGCCTCCGACGGACGCTTGATCCAGCAGAGCATGCAAGCCAAGTCGGGGCAATCTATGCCGGTTTCCCTTCGTCTCGTTAGTAACGCCGGCTTGCCAAGAAGAGACAAACGTCTGTCTTACCGATAGAGGGGACAGACTGGCAAGGGGCAACGGCTGACGGCTGGCTTGGTGCCGGGCTTCGCTGCGTCGCCCTGTGTGCCAGCAGGTCGTCCAACTTCCCTGGCCGTCTTCCGGGTCTCCTTCACAGAGCCAGTGACGCCGTCGCCAGTTTGTTTGTCATGGGTTGTGGGCATGTTTGGGGTCTGAGACGGGGCGATGGAAATGGGTAGATGGCCTCAACACAAGCAAGCCCGCCACTGGAATTCCAGAACGCCTTGTCGATTCGCTATCAGGACGGTCACGTGTGGTGGGAGAAGCCGTGACAGGTAAGCTACATGTAGTGGACCCTAGCCGACCCTGAGAGCTAGCCAGTCTTCTGGTGGCCCGAAAGTTGGCCCTCACAGCTGTGGGCATGCCAAAGGCGCTCCGAAGGCGGTTTGGGTCACGCTCTCCCCTGGCGACATCGGCGCAGCGAGGAACGGCAGGGCATGGGCAGCGTGTGCAAATATCACTCGCCTCAATGCCGTCGCGGGCTCGTGCACATGGTGATCGGTCGTGTCCTCGGAGACACTGGGATCCCGCACAGGTACCACCAGGCCTCAACGCGTACGGACGCGTCGATACTAGTGGGGCTCAGGGCGCTATAACCATCCCAGGGCGCGGCCAGTGGTGCACTCCGCAATCCGCAATTGATACGACAATTGACGTCCAAGCGCGTCAGAGTCGCGTCGAGGCCCATTGGCTTATGTCATCAACTCACCTTGATGACCTTGCCGCCCAATCAAAAGTTTCAACATCACGTACGTCCCTTGCCAAAGCAATTCAAAACAATCCTGTCTAATTCTCTGGCCAGGCTTTCATTCACATCTACCAATGCTCTCCTGCACCTCCATCAACATTTATTATGGAAGAAGAACTAGCAAGTCTGCGACAGCAACTTCGGGAAGAACAACGCCGACGCGAAGAAGAGCAACGGCGACGCGAAGAAGCCGAGGGTCGTATTTTGGAGGAGCAACGGCGACGCGAAGAAGAGCAACGGCGACGCGAAGAGGCTGAAGAGCTTGCGAGACCGCTGGCACTTGAGAAGTATCTGGAGGCTTGTCACTCGCTCAATCATGCGATTCAGGTGGTGACCGACCGTTCATTGACCACTCAAGGCGACACCACGAACCCCACCGGTCGGATTTTCCCTAGCCGAATCATCCCCTGGGACGACTTCGCGACGAAACAAGAGGAGACCTGGGATCAACTCTCTGCCGGCCAGTCGTTCGCCTCCCACTCCGCATTCCCATCCCGTCATCAGCTGGAATACGTCAGGTCCTTGCTCAAGCCCATTAGCAGTGAGATTGGGCTCCGGGACTTTGAACGTGATGTTGTCGAAAATGCTGTTCAGAAACTGGTTGACGAGGCATACAGGGATCCCCGACTGCGAACCGCTCTCAGTCTCCAGGGAACCGTGACCTTCGAGAGCCATACGAATCTTGGGCGGACCGACGACCCCATCTCTGCGCCTATGGAGCACATGTCCATTGGCGAAGGTCACGCTGCTGCCGCAGCTTCGGCCCCGAGACCGCCGGCTCCTAAGCCCCGTCGTAGGGCGAGGGGAAAAGGCAACCGGGCGGACCAATTCTGCATATACAGGACTTCGGACGGTCGAAACATCCCCGCCCTCGCGATCGAGTACAAGGCACCGCACAAGCTGAGCACCGACGAGGTTGTGACGGGCCTGGAGTCGGAGATCCAGCCGGCACGAGACGTGATCAACAAGGACGGCGAGGGCTTCTCGTTTGCATCGAGGTCGCTCGCCGCCGCCGTCATCACTCAGCTCTTCTCCTACATGATCGGCAAGGGCATTCAGTACGGATACGTATGCACGGGGGAGACGTTCATCTTCCTCTACATTCCGGACGATCCCACGATTGTCTACTACTCCGTATGTGTGCCGAACGTGGACGTCCTGGATGACGACGAGAATAGGCTCCACCGCACGGCCGCTGCGCAGGTCTTCGCCTTCATTCTCCGGGCCCTCTGCGCGACACCGCCCCCTCTGTCCTGGCACGACGCGGCCGCCGGCCTAGATACCTGGGCGGTGGAGTACGACGATGTGCTGAGGAATATCCCCGAAACGATGCGCAAGGACAAGGGGCCTCGCGCGTCTCCTTACAAACCCCAGCGGTGGCGTGGCTTCAAGCGGTCGCCCATTCAAACCCGTTCTCGTTGCCAGCCACCGCATGAACTCATCGACGGTCGAGGCGATGACGATGACGAAGAAGCTCCTCCTTCCCCCACTCCGAAGCGACCGAGCCGTTCCAAGGATAAGGCGACCATGTTGTCCGCAGGGGCAGACTCGGGCAGTAAACGAAAGCAACCCAGCGGAGGAAACCGGCAGCACGGCCAAATGACGCAACAGAAAATACAGGACCGACCGTTCTGCACCCAACGATGCCTGCTGGGATTAGCGTCCGATGGCCCGATGGACGAGAGCTGCCCCAATTTTGGGGATCACGGATCCCAACATATCAGCCGACTAGAGTTTCTTCGTCTCATCCGTGCTCAGCTGGCCAAAGACCGTGGCCCCGATGCGGACTGCATTCCCCTCTACATGTCGGGGTCAGTCGGGTCGCTCTTCAAGGTGCGACTTTCGTCCCACGGCTACACGCTCGTTGCCAAAGGCGTGGAGGGTCTCGATCTTGTCTTGCTGCGGCACGAGAACGACATGTATGATCGAGTCAGGGCCATCCAGGGAAAGCACGTCCCGGTATGCCTCGGCAGGATAGAGCTGATCCTCCCGTATTACTATGACAGCGGTGTTTTTGAGCACTTCCTGTTCCTCAGTTGGGCCGGGCGACCTGTGTTCGAGTGCTGCGACCAAACCGGCAGACAAGCAGTCGTCGACGCGGTCACTGCAGCCTTTACGGAGATACACAAGTTGAAAGTTCTCCATCGCGACGGAAAACCTCGCAACGTTTTATATGATGCGGGCAGTAGCCAGATCATGATCGTAGATTTCGAGCGGGCGGAGCTTCGCAACCGTCAACCTCTCGGCCCGATCAGCCTGAATGGCCAGCCTCGCAAGAGGAAGCGAAAGGCAGTGAAGACGAACGGAAGCGATCCTTCGCGATGGAGTTGCGATCCGTGGTAGAGTGCGTCTCGGGGCTGGCATATCGAGTGAAGGTTGGAGACAATGCTACCCGAAATGCTCGCTCAGCCGCGACCAAGGACTCTCTGAACTGCGCGGTCCCATCACCAAGGTCAGGTCCCGCAGCGGATCAGGAGTCAATAGGTTGTGCAGCACATGGACTGACTGTGCAATGAAACATGACGATAACAAGGCGTAGGCTACGCCATCTTCTGGCTACCGGCGCCGTCGCGTTTAGAAGGACATCGCACAAATTGAACCGAGACGGGTCTGCCCTTTATAGGCGCCGGGTGCCTAGAAAGACGAGTCCGGCCATTATCCTTGGCGGCAAGAGACTGCGCTAGACAGGATTCGTGCTACGAGAGGACGGTTTTGCATATCGTCGGGACGCTGTGCTGGCCGGAATCCGTGGATATCCGCCTTGGTGGCCGGAAGCTGTGCTGGCTGGAAGCTGCGCTGGCCAGAAACTGTGGTGGCGAGGGATCGTGTTGGCCAGAATTCGTGCCACCAAGGGACGATTTCGGGATATCCGCCTTGGTGGCCGGAAGCTGTGCTGGCTGGAAGCTGCGCTGGCCAGAAACTGTGGTGGCGAGGGATCGTGTTGGCCAGAATTCGTGCCACCAAGGACGATTTCGGATATCGTCCTTTGGTAGCCTGACGTTACGCTGGCTGGAAGCTGTGCTGGCCAGGAGTTGTGCTGGCTGGGGGCCGTGATGGCGGCCAATCGCGACCACCGTCTTTGGTGGCCAGAACAAGCTGCGCCGGCTGGAAACCACGGTGGTAAGGATTCGCGCCAGCAGGGGACGATTTCGGATCAGGGACAATTTGGGCCTGGCAACCGGAAGTGGGCTGACCAGAAATCTTGCTGGCAAGGGATCGCGCCAATAGAACAGTTCTTTTCCATCTTTGACGAGATGCTGCAATGTGCCTCGACTCGTCATTCAGACTACCTAAGTGGATGGGAGCTTCCTAGGGACCATTGCCCCGTGCACTGGCGTATGG